CGAGAAACGTCGAGTCTCTCGTTGCCGTGTGCACTATTTGCTAAATCACTCGTCACTGCGGTGATTCGTGTATTCAAGTTTTCAGCACTGAAATTGCACATGATTGTACGCGACGATTATATCCTGCTTCGAAACCGAAGGAGAGAATCCGCCGGTGATTATCCGCCGTCGTACGAGTAAACGCGCGAGCGCACTGTTAGCACCTATTGCGCAATCACTACAATGTCACGACTCGATAAAGTACGCAGCCGATTCCGCGGGATTGAATTCGCGGGAAATGCGCGAGCGAGCGCGCTCGCGGAAACTCAGCTTTATTAGTGCATGATCCGCGATAATTTATTATTCTTCCCTTCGTACGCGAAATTACGCAACGGCCGGACAAGTATAACCGAGCCTCGTGAAAACGTCTCTGCCGGACGTGCGTACTTTAATTAAACGCCGCTTCCGGTCTGTCATTAACTCGCTCGCTTACCGGTCGACGACGATTAGAGCGCGAGGCTCGCGCGAGAACGCGCAGCGCTGCCTCGGCTCGGCGGCGGTCTTTTGCCAAACCCGCGAAGATTTCTCGCCGCGGCAATTATCATTTCGCGGAAAATTATCACTTCCACTCGGAAAAGCGCAATTTCCGCTCGTTCAGACGATCGGAAGCGGCGTTTTGGAAGCCAAGTCGCGTCCCGTATTTTCCCAACGACATATCAAAAATCAAATAAATCCTCCGACGTGAAATTTCACGGGCCTTCCGTGGTTTACCGTCGAAGCAGCGATTGCAGTTAGTGAAAAAGTAAACCCAAAATTCTACGAGATATGAGCAGGCTGTTGAAAAGAAAAAAAGTTTCTTGACTTACAGAATAGATGACATTCATTATACCGAGTAAAATGTGCTTGGTAAACATTGGTAGAAAGATCAACTCTTTCATCACGCTAAGATCGCTCCATCCACTAATGAAAGCATACATGTAACATGCGTCACCAAAATCGAAAAACGTTCCGAAAGAATTGCAACTCTGAAAAGATTGATTTCTTTTACCTATACTGAGAAAAAATTGTATTAAAATTAAACAAATATTTGTTCGAATATGACTGTGATTACATTTATTCAAATTAAGCGACTAATTTCTAAAATGCAGAGAAGAAATACAGAGGTTCTCTGAATGTAAACTTTTTTCTATAATTTTAGAAAATAATTGCTTAATTTAAGTAAATGCATTCACAGTCGTATTCGAACAAATATTTGTTTAATTTTAATATAATTTTTTCTCAGTGTATGTTTACTAAATACTTTTTGCTTAGTACAATGAGTACTATTTATTTTGTAGATCAGAGATTCCTTTTTTCGAATATCCTGTATACTAGGAGAAATATATTCTTGCGTGAACCAAAATCTTGTTGTAACAACAAAATAATTTGGTTAAAATATGCCCAACAAAACTGTTTAGTTCCTTTTAGTAAACAAATATCTTGTTTGATTACGGTTTGTTCGTATAACGTAATAATTTTGTTATAGCAACCAAAAAGCTTTAACTATATGAATTTTGCTAAAAATATTATAATTTTTTCTTAATATATAAAATCTAAATTTTAGTGCACAGAGAGACAAAATAATATCCATTGGGCATTATTTTAGTTTATGTAAAATAATATTTCGTTATTATGTCACTTTTATGGATAAAATAACTAAAATGCTTAATTTTTATATATGAAGTCTAAGAACAAAATCATTTGGTCCAGAGAACAAAGCAGAAAAATATATTTAGTTGAGACAACTAAATATTTTGTTATATAAAACAAGATATTTGGTTGCTATTAAAAAATGCCTCAACTAAACACTTTTGTTAGAGATACTAAATTTTTTTTCCTAGTGTATATACTTAGAGAAAGGGAGGGGGAAGAAAAGAGAGAGGGGTGAAAGAGAATGGCGCCAAATCTGGCTACCTAAGCTAGTACAATAGGAATCCTTTTGTCATTGGACAGAAGACAGTTTGAACTTTGAAGTCTCGTTTCGTGTCTTTAAGATATTTCCTCTTCCTCTGTCTCTCCCCTCCTTTTGTGAAACTCAGAAGTGTGGAAGAAGGCATTTTGCTTCATAAAGAAGTGTGCTTCTGTAGATCTCTGACCTTTAGCACTAACTTTTGTCGCAAGAGGTTGTTCAGTCATTGCTAAGGAAACATGAACTTTACATTGAAGAAGAGTCAGTCAAGAATCTCTAAGTATGATTATAATTAACTGAGGGGGAGAAGAAAATATTGATAATACTATTGCTGCAGAGAGAGAAAGAGAGAGAGAGAGAGAGAGAGAGAGAGAGAAAAAGATAAAGAGAGAGAGAGAGAGAGAGAGTGGTGTGTATGTTTTCGTGCACTGAAGAAAGAAAACTCGAACATGAGATTATGTCTCTGGGAAAAGAACAACGTGTAAGTACATTTAGTAACTATATAAAGAAAAGCGACCTCATGTAGAGACAAATATATCTGTTTTTCCGTATAAAAAAAAAAAGATATCGCTCGAGTTGTTAGATTCCGTGAGATCCATAATCAAGCAATAGGTTATCGAACCAAGAGAATCTATCAGTTCAGAAAATATTAAATTGAATGACAAAATTCTCAAATATCAAGAACATGGAGATGGTTTAGAACAAATATTTTTTAACACGATCATCTCTCTTCTATGTAACAATGTATGCTACTTGTTTTACCATGTAACTTATATACACTGAAAATATATTCGTTCAGCCGAGGAGAATTTCAAAGAACATTGCTGTGACTTTACGACCAATTATAATGGCTTAAAAATATACGAAAAGATTGTAGAAAAATTTTTTCATTATACACGTGGTTAAATCGTCTGCTATTTAGTCTGCTATATGGCCACGTAGTTGATGCTTATCTAACGCAAGGTTTTAAATTTCCGAGAAAAAGGAAAAGAGGGAAAGAAATGGAGATGGAAAGAGAGAGAGAGAGAGAGAGAGAGAGAGAGAGAGAGAGAGAGAGAGAGAGAGAGAGAGAGTGAGTGAGAAGGGGAAGAGAGAGAAGGGGAAGAGAGAGAAGACAAAGAAAGAAAGAGAAAAAAGAAAGCATTATGCCGGGATGAGAACTTGTGTTGACCGACCGGTCAGTCGGAAGGTAGCAAATTCTAAGCGAGGGCGAACATATTTTTCCTCTATCGTTACAAGACACAAAGAATAAGCGCCGAGAGAATAAGTCACAGCTCGTGATTTTTCGCCGGCCGAACCGCCGTTGTATAACGCGTTGCTCTCCGCGCGTTGTTTATTTTTGCATTATGCGCGAATTACGTTAGCCGGCCTTTACGGTAGTTAGTGCACCGTGGACATTTCTGGCAGCAGCCGCGGATGCCACTAATGCCTTGCCAACACGGATTGCACCGGCGCGATGTGCGCTCGCGCTTGTCCAATCAATGCGCGTGCGAAGATGATAAGTGGAATCGGCAGAAGAAGAAATTTGCGCGCACGGCGCGAGTGCGAAGTAAGTAAGAAGATTATTCGCGCGGTAACGCTCCGCCGAAAAAGCTGCGCTCGTTGAATTGCAAAAACTCCTCGACGTATCTGAATATTTAATAATATGTGTCGTCTCAATAACTCTGCCGAAAATGTAATACGATCATTTTTATTAACAACAATGTTGAAACATTTATCGTACGTCATCGCCACCTTTAGAAGTTGACATGTGAAAAATTGGCGAGTATTTCATATTAACATTCATTTTCTGCCTGTGTATGTAATACTATTAATTTCTAGTATTAAGTTAATGATATTAATATAATATTAATTACTAATTACTAATATTACTATAATATTATTAATATTAATTATTAATTACTAATAAATCGTATAAATTGAAATAATTCAATATTATAAACGCTAAGTTAATTTAGTATTCGAAAACTTTATTATTTTTCTTTCGATTGTTTCCTCCCCTTCATTTCTTTTCTCCTCCTACACCACCATATTGACTTTACACATTTATTGATTGCACAGATTGTGTAATCTATATTTTCCTAGTTACCGTTATCTTCTTCAGAATTCTATTTTATAGAAATAAACAAATTTGTTCCCCCCGTTGGGAGAAATGTGTGCATGGTCTTTATTTTGATTAATAAATATAATTTTTAATATGTGTGATATATTTTAACTTTATACTCGATACGTAAAAACCGCAATTATTTATGCACCAGCCTAATATATCACTCTTTCTTTCACTTTATTTGACACAGAATTAGATGTCTCTTTTTCGTTATTCAAGAAACGTAGAATGCCTTCCTTAATTCGTGGATTTATTTATTCTCATATCGATCGCACGATTACATCAAATTCATGAACGATGCACTCGATGTCGAGCTTGTCATTAATCACGGTCGACACAAGCGCTAATTTCAACGGCGTTTTCCGCCGACGAAGCCCTACCCGCATCTTAAACTGTTTATTCCTCCCCTTCGAAGGGCGGAACGCGCGACATTGTCTTAATTACAGCGTAGCGATCAACGTCGAGTTCTCTCCCTCTCTGTCTCCTTCTCTCTCGCGAGCGAGCAAACTGCGTTTCTCGATCGGACTTTGCGAGTTATTCCATTCAAAGCGGCCGTGTCCCATCAAAAGCTCCCCTCTGGGCCCATACTCTCGATGTATGTCGCCTCGGTATTTTTGCAGCTTATTTCCGCTCATTGATCTAAAACCATCCGGGACTTTCGGGCTTTCAAAGACCAACGCGCCTAATCGCTTTGTCTCAGAAGGCACCTGTGTGCGATTCGTTTCTCTATTCACGCTTGCAACGGGAAAGATCGAATGAAGGGAGAAGCATATATTTATGTATACACGTATACACATTTACACATACACACACACACACACATATACACGCATCATCGGCCCTTGTACATTTAATGTACATGTCGCAGCCGGTTCATTGCGAGGGATTATCTGAAGCGGTAGATGGTTAAATTAGCGTCTTAAACTAATCTTACAAGTGCATATCACGCGTCCTGCTGATGCTCACCCCAGGTGGAAAGCGCGACATATCGCGGACGCAAAAATCCAGCTTGATCCAAGTGGGAAGACAGTCTGCGAGCGCCGGCCGGTGCACTTTTCTCGCGGCGGCAGACGCTGTGGAATCTCTCGTTGCTCCCTCCGAGCACGCACCCACCTTTTTTGCACTCTCTCCTACTCGCCGCTCGATTCTCACCGATGAGTTAGTTCCCACCGAATCACTGCGGTCCTCCTCCTCGATCGTTCGATCGATCGATCGCTCCCCCCCTCTCCAAACCGCGCGCTTCCGCAGTTCGAATCTTCGCGCGCCTGCCTCTCGCAGATAGGAAACCTCGGTCGCGCACGAGACCCGCTCGCTAAAGCGGGAGAGAGACGTATCCTTCGCTCTTTCTCTCGCAACGGTCCCGCTGAATGTTTCAAAAACGTCCCGGACACGAACGAGATAATCGCGCGTCGTATCGCGACGAGAAAAGGAGAAGAGAACTTCACCGCGTGCGCGAAACTCGCGTGTCGCTGAGTCGGCGACGAGTTTTCACGGGCTCGTTCGTCGATCCTCGATCACGCTGGTCCATGTCTGGGATCTGGCAGGATCCGCGCTGGTACCGCGAGTCTCACCGTCCAGCCGGGCGAAAGAGCGCGCGCGCGCGCGCGCGCGCGTCTCTCGAGGACGCCCGGCGGACGTGGACGCGTTGTCGTAGGTCGCGATCGATCACTCACGTGGCGAGCGCGACAATGTCAACGTGTCGGGCTCGGTGCTCGGCGCCGTGCTCGCGAGTGGAAATGAAGTAAATCGATGGCGAAGTTGGAGCGTTAGCCCGCGGCGCACTTGCGCGCTCCGTCGTCCGCTCGTCGGCCGGCTGACTCGCTTCGCGGGAAAGCGCAAATCCGCGCAAAGCCTCGCGAGATCGCGCCCCCTCGCTCCGCCGACGATGCTCGCTACGTGAGCATCGGAGACACGAAGAAGCTACAGTCTGATATGCGCTGTTGGAGAGTGAGAGTCTCTCTCTCTCTCTCTCTCTCTCTCTCTCCCCCTCCCTCCCTTGACGAGAGTACGCGACCGTCTCAGAGAGCACGACACCGCTTCCTCCTGGCGACGACGAGCATGCCTCGGCGAGTAATCGGAGTAACGTGACTTGCACGATACCTCGGCCACTCTCGGACTTTTTGTCCTAATCACACAACTTCCATCAGTCCCATCATTTCGACAAATGGCTCGGGATCCTCCCCGACACGGTCTCACCGGCCTGTAATGAGAACGTCATCGGCGGGAGCTTCACACCGCTGCCGCGTAACATGACGACGACGTGTCGACGTCCCAGACGCGCGGTCGTTCGCGCTCGCGAGGGGAGGGTAAGGGGACGGCAACGTGTTTCACCTGAGAGGGTCCCCTTCAGAGCGCCCCCCCGTGCGGGCCCATAGTGTCGCGTAGTTGTCCAAAGTCGGCGGCGCGACCGGCCGGCCGGCCGGCAGGTACCGGTAGCGGTGCACACAGCGGGAGACACTTCCGGTCTCGCTTCCGCAGTGTCCCGTGACGCGAGGTCGGCCGAGGTCCGGCGAGTGAGACAGCTGTCGTCTTCTCCGCAGGATCCTCCAATATTTTTTCGGGTGCGGAAGGTCGCGGCGTCGGGAAGGTCGAAAAGTGTCTTTTCTTTCTTTCTTTCTTTCTTTCTCTCTCTCTCTCTCTCTCTCTCTCTCTCTCTCTCTCTCTTTGTCTCTCTGTCTCGCTCGCTCACTTGTCGCTACGCGCGCGCGCGCGCGCGCGCCTGCTATTCTACCTCGCGGTGTGCTGCACTCGACTCACGTGGCGGCCTGCTCCGAACCCTTGTCAGCGGTCACCACTTCCTCAGGCCGTCGACCAATCGGCTGCGCGCCAGGACGCCGCGAGCTACGATCGCGGATCCTCGCCCGCGCTCGGCCACGCTCGGTAGCCGCTCGTCTCCGTCGCACTCACGCGCCGCGCTGTCACACGTGTGTGTATGTGCATGCATGTGCCGCGTGGTCGGCGGCGGCGGCGGCGGCGGCGGCGGCGACGGCGGTGGTGGTGGTGGTGGCGGTGGCGGTGGCGGTGGCGGTGGCGGTGGCGGTGGCGGTGGTGGCGGTGGCGGTGGCGGTGGCGGCGGCGACGGCGACGAAGACGACGGTGACGACGGCAGCGGCGACGGCGACGTCGGCGGTTGGACACCAAAGTCCGCAACCACTTTCCGAAGTGGTCCGGTGCAGCCGCGGGGACAGATCACGGCGACGCCTACGACCAGGACGACGTGGACGTCCAGGACTGGCCGTGGTCCTGGTACCGCTTCCACCGGTCTCCGCACGCATGAAAGCACGCGCTGCCTCGCATCGAGCGTGCGCCTCGTCCAGCGTCCGACACGATACTACCTCTCTCCCCAACCTCTCTATCTTTCTCGCTCTCCCTACGCCCCCTCCACCGCCGCAACTCGCTCCGTCTCCCTCTGGTCGAGATCCCCGCGCGCGGGTAGGGAGGATGTGGGGAGAACCTCTCTGGTAGCCGCTCATTAAACGCCGCGGTGACGTCAGGAGAGTATCAACGATACTCTCGAAATTCGCGAGGGAGTGAGTAAGAGAGAAGGAGAGTGTGTGCGCGCGCGCGAGAGAGAGAGAGAGAGAGAGACACGTCGGTCGGGTCTGTTCGCGCCTCTCGCCACGTGATTGATCCCGACGCGATCATGATTGATAAATAGAAACGGCGGGAGCTCGGCTTTGCAAATTTCACGAATCGCCGTCGACGACGGAACGATGAAAAATCCTTCCGACAGAATTCCCCCAAGGATGTTTCGCCGTCGATGAACCGCGGAGCCGCTGTCAATCGGAAATTAAGCGATTCGAGTCTGTCTCGCTCTGTTACTTAATTTACATATCCCTCTTTTTTTCTCCTCATCCGCAGCAACGCGAGGACTCGTATTGTTGAAATCTCGCTCGTTAATCACGCGACCTGCGGCCGTATATTTAATAACTTCTTTTTTTCCCTCTTCCCGTCTCGCACACACGCGATAGCGCATCTACGTGGTCTACGTTATTTTCAGCGCATCAGCCGTTCCGCGTCGGATAGGATTACATCATATTAAAACGGCTGACGATGATACACTCTTCCTGCGCTCGCGAGCGAGCGCTGCTCGTCAGGTAGACGAACTGAGGAGGAAGAAGAGGCGAACAGACCGAGTCGCCGCGAGAGCCGAGAGAGAGAGGAGAGTCTCTCCCCGATCGCTACCCGCGGCGGAACTGCCGCGCTTTCAGCGTCGCCCGCGAGATCATCAACGAAGCGAGGACTCGCTTTCGTCGAAAGGTTACAGTCGACTCGCGCGCGGTAGCCGCGAACGAGACGAACGCGTCGCCGGCTGACGTCAGGGTGCGCTGATCGACAATTTGCGTAATTTACACCGGCGAGCGATCAGATCGATGCAGCTGCGCGCGCAGTACCGCGATTGTTATCGACCGCCGCGGCAAAGAGTGAAAGAAAAGGTCGTTAATCGCTCACGCCGAGAGTGACGGAGCGATTGAAACATGACGCGACGCGGCATCGCGGAGCGACCGGCTGCGTAATTCGTTAACGAGTCTTCCCGTACGGCGCGGAAAGCGCCGCTCGGCATCAACGACAACACCCGTGCCAACACGTCACCCTCCCTCTCTCCCTCCTTGCCGCCGGACGCGCTCCTCCGCGAGCGCTTTCTCGTCCGACGCCTCTTAACCACCCCATCGTTCTCGCGGAGAGAGATAAACCGAACTGGCCGTCCGCGCGAATATGGCCGCGATATGGGCGACGTTAGCGGGGATACACGCGAGATACGTCGCTCGCGCCCACGGCAAATGACGATGTACCACGCGAGTGTGTCTCGTTGGGAATCTCGCCTGGGTGACATTAGCCAGCGGATAGGAAGTGCGATTGAAATTCGCGGAAGAGCGCGCGTGCGCGCGCGAGAATGGAAGCCGAACGGCGAGCGAGACAGACGGAGAGGGAAGGAGGACCTCGTCGTGGGTGGTCCGTCTAAAACGTCCGTAGCTACTTGGAAATGGATTTCGCGGCGCGCGCTCGCGACGTCCACTGCTATTTAAAGATGAGGAGGAGATGTACACACGCGCGCATCCGCGTATTTTTTCTCCCGCCACGCGCGGCGCGGCGCGGCGCGGCGCGGCGGAGTCCGTCTCCCTTCGGCAGCAGCACGCGCTGCGCGAGCGAGTCCGCTGGAAAAGCGCCGTGAGTGCAAAGACACCTTTCACGCGATACCATCGTCGACGGTAATCACCGGGGCGAAAGGTCCCGGCACTTAAAGGCTCGGTTTCGTCTTCGGGTTTTGTAATGAGAGGCGCGCCGGCGTCGTGTATTTATTTTCAATAAACGCACGGACGGAGAGAGAGGGAGCGAGGCTGGGAGCGAGGGAGGGAGGGAGAGAGAGAGAGAGAGGAGGACGGCATGGATCGAAACGAGTCGGCGCTCGCTCGTAAGCGCGTGAATGTAGATGTTAACGACGAGAGAGTATCACACAGTCACGATTAGGGATAATATTATTATTGTCGAGCGCGAGCGCGCGCGCGAGAGAGAGAGAGAGAGAGAGAGAGAGAGAGAGAAGAATAGCCGAATGGAAACGTGACTCCGCCAGGCAGCGGTTCAGCGCCGGACGGTGCGCCTTCTTTATCTACTTGAATTTGTGAACTTGCTCGTACGACACGCGCGCGCTCGTCCGGGTTTATCTTAGCCTGCCGTGAGAAGTGAGTGCTATCGTTAGAGCTGAAACCTCGGCGGTGTCGATGACTTTCTTTATGGGTCAAGTTCGATTATGCGCGCCGATGCGTGCCTTCGGGCCGCGCCGGCCACGATCGAGCGTGTCAAGAGGGAAATCTTAAGCGCGAGAGATAAGTTATTCTTGCGGCGAGGCGCGCGCGGCCGATGTAATGCTGTTTGTCCGTATCGCATTTGTACAATTTGTAAAAGTAAAAACGGTATACGCTGATGTATTAATAGTTAAGCGCGGGTATATGCGAGGAGCGAAGCTGTCAGTTTGAATCACACCGGGATGGCTATTCAATAAACAGCAATCTGACGTTACCAGAAAAAAGTTTGCCGCTTATACGTTGCACGTTATTGCGAATTTGTTCCCTTTTTTTCTACGTTCTTCTTTTTCTTTCTTTCTCCCTCCCTCCCTTCCTTCCTCGCACCTCCCCCCCCTCTCTCTCTCTCTCTCCTTGTTGCCTCCTTAGAACGAGTATAATTGACACATTGAATGAATCTTTGCTATCGAATGAAATTTGGCAGCCGCTGGTAATATAAAACCGACATTTATAGAAGCTTACGTTAACATGACGCAAGCATGTTCGACATCCAGCCGCGACGCGCAAACGCTGACAACGTTTCTGATATAATAATATATGTAACAGATACCGCGCTAAGTCGCGCGGACTTTCGTGCGCCGTCGGATTATAAAAATGCAGACGCGCTTTCACCGAAAAATATTATCAATGAGTTCACGTCTAAAGCCGGAGAAGGAGAGAGAGAGAGAGAGAGAGAGAGAGAGAGAGAGAGAGAGAGCCGCATGCGCGGCTCAAAATATCCGGCGCCCGCGGCGCTAAAGCTTGCTTCGCGCCGCTTGACGCGGTAATTATTGCGGATTATTCGCCTACCTGCCGCGAACCGTACTTAATTGACGGACAATCGTTTAAATAAGTGAGATATTTTCAGCGAGAGGCGAGTGGCCGCGGCAAGCTCGCGTTTAAAGTGGTTTGACCTGATATTAGAAAAATATATCTTCCCCCTCATTCTCTCTCTCTCTCTCTCTCTCTCTCTCTCTCCCCCTCTCTCTCTATATATATATATATTAGGGGTACCGGAAAGTCTTTTCGTTTTTCCATGTTCTTCACTTGGTTCAAACGCTGCCATTTTCCGAGAGTAAGTTCGATCTTAATCAGAGTTGATATACATAATAATTGAAATGTTGTTAACTAACCTGGTATTTAAATTAATTCTTGATTAAAAGTAAGAACCTGTATAATCACGGAAATTGAAAGCTTTAAAATACGAAAAGACTTTTTGCCGATGGAGGTGAAACGAGCGCAACGCACGTGCGTCGATTCGCGACGAAGCATGCGCCGCGACAGGAAGTTACCCCGGCTTCTGCATGAGAGCTGCGTTACCGTTGGACGTATAAAAATAGCGGACGTTATCCTCCCCGCGACGCGGTGAATTTCAGAAACAATCGCGGACCCGCGGCAAATGCGATTTGAAGCCGAGATACCTTTCGTATATTCGATCGGGAATATCAGAGAATCAGATGTCTGCTGGAGCAACGATAGGAGCCACACGTACGCGGCCCGACGCATGAATATATGCGCGACAGTAAAACTGCAGGATACCGAATATAGAAGATTATTAAAGCGGAGGACGACCGCGCGGTCTTTGAGTCTTCAAGAATATTGTAGGAGTCTCCTCACCGTCTGAAACATTCAATCGCGAATCTGACAGATAGATTCCATTGCTGTGTGTGATATTTTCCAAATGATTTAAATCGGACAAGGGTTGGCACGATCAGTGGGTTTTTTTCGCAGATGCATTTTGTAATTTTATTTTGCGTCCGCTGAATTGCCGATTTCTTGTTTCGTCTCCTTCTTATAATCCTCATTATATTTTCTTATCATCAAAAATTAGTTTGTGTGTACGTCTTTTGGACATAATATGAGTTTCTGGGCATAAGAATGGGCACAAGTTGCTAAAAGAGCATCAGAGAATCAAGCCGTGGATATTTTCTGTCTTACACCGATTCGAACGTTCAAGCTAGCGTTATATGTATTTCTTTTGCTAGTTTCGCGAATAACACGGATCAGTCCGAAAGCACACCGTGCATAATAAGATCCCGACGCTAATCACGCTCGATATTAATAAATATATCGAAGTAAGGAGCGTAATTAATTATCGACTGGCTTCCTTCCTCTCTATCAAACCGCCAATGTGACATAAGATTTTACAACGAACAAATTATCAAGCGATGAGACCCACACACACA